CATGTTTGTTTGAACTTTTGTTTAGGGTTTTACGATCAGTCAGACCATCCGACGATGGCTTTATCAACGCACCCAGATCAAATGTGTTGTGTGTTGTGTTGTGTTTTTCTGTTACCTGATTTCTCACCTTGGCTGAAATTTACAGCTCGCCGGCATTTGACATCTTTCCCTCTCTTTGAGAGAGCTTGGGTCAACTATTTGAAAGATTTCACGCAGATTTTGTTTCATAATCAAATAATTGATCTTAATGCGGCATCAAATGAGTGCTCGGGCCGAGCTTTAAATAAATTTATTTCATTCCAAGTGTCGCTGTCATCCGCTGAGCTTTTGATCCAATCAAACTTGAAACGAATTGCGCTTCAATGTTGTGTATTTCGTATTATTTCTATTTTATTTTAGCAAAAAACAAGGAGAATAAAAGGGGTCTGAGGGGTTTTAGCACCTCTTTGAGCTTAGGCCCATAAAAAATGCCTCTTTTTTATTGTATGACTTTGAGTATTTCGCCAAAACTAGTTTCCGCAATAATTCGCTGAACTCAAACGTGTTTGTTTGCGGTTTATTTTCGATTTTAGGCCCGGCAATCTATCAAAAATTTCAGATGAGAAATGTCCGAAAAGAAAAGGGTTTGCTCTGGTCAATAAATGTTCACTCACGTGCCATAAAATCAGGCTAAAGAAATGTTATGATTCGTTAGAAAAGATTCTATTAAAAAGGTTTCAAAATTAAGATCAATATATCAGGCAAAGATTGATGGTTATTCAAGTTTATGTTGACAGACAGTTCATAGAGGGGAAAAGTTAATGTATTTTCATATTAAGCAGTTTCCTTTTATGGTTTAAATAATATTTAATATAAGATTATGCAAAATTCTCAAACAATTTTGACTATTTTGGGTACAATTCCTTAAGTTCTGTGTGTGTGCATTCATAGAATTGTGAGTGATTGATTCTTGTGGCCTGTGATGACCTCCAAGTTGGCCAGGCGGCGAATCAATCAAAATTGCCTGCAAATAAATGATTTTATTTTTTACTCTCTGCCCAAGCTGTGTGCCAAATTTGGCACATTTTTTATATTTTATTGTGTCTGTGTGCCAGTTTTCGTTTTCATTTGCATGAATTGCCAAAAATCGAACCAAAAAACTGAAATATGGGCAAAAACTAGAAACTAAAGTCTGGTCATTGTGATCGAGGAAATCGAAATTACCAATGGGGATTTGCATAGGAATCGATCGATCCATCGATCGATCCAGCGATAGATTTATTCATTCGCAGAAGATCTCCCACTGGGCCTTAATGAGATTTTGGCCAAACTGTTTTCATGGCTTACTCCAGTTATTATTATTATTATTATTTAACTATTATTGTCTGGGCGGCGGCGGCGATGGTGTGTAATTGGCATTCGGTGTTTTGTTTCCAAGTTCGAACCCCCAAAAAAGTTCGATCCAATCTTGAACTCATTCCGAAATGGAAAGTCAACGAGGGACATGAACATTTCGCATCATTATCTTATCGGCCCATTATTATTTGGCCGTTTTCTATCTAATTTGCCACGATTTTTTATGGCTCAGATGACTGACAGAGGAGTTATTTGTATCTGGTATCTGCAATTCTTGTTAAGTTTCAGCACCGATTCCGTCTTTGAAGGCGGCCGCCTTTGTCTGCTTGCAAATGCAAATATTTTCTATTTCAATTGATAGACCATATATGTACATAAATATATGCAGTCATATAGCATTTATTTCGTACATTTTGTATACAAAATCTGCTCTTGACAAATCACTCCAGCCGACTGCAAGTTTAGTCCCCATAATATAATTTGCATAAATCTCTACTGTGCGCTGACAGACCCCGCAAACATATGAGTTATCCGATTTTTATCTATATTTAATTATTTACGATTGGAACACAATGGTTCAGGGCCATTAATCAGAGCTGCAAAAGTCCGGGGCTATAACCGAGTGCCTACGTGCTTGATTAGTTTCATTACTCACATTACTGTATACAAATGGACGGGTTTTAGAGCCTTTTAGAAGAGTTTAGTAATAAATATCGATAAATATAATGTTTTTAATACTTTATCGGAGTAATAGTTGTGATATGAATGTTTATAAATTGCTTTTATTGAAGCATCTTAACTGAATTTTAGTTGAAAATTAAAGATACAATGCACAATAAAAGTTTTATATTATTTATTGATAAATTGTACATTTTTGAAATAATATATCAAAGTAATCGTACGGATATACATGTTTATAAATACCTTCAATATACCATCTTAACTGAATTATAGCCTATCATAACTGATAAAGTGCATAATAAAAGTTTCATTATTATTTATCGATAAATTTTTAATGCTTCAGATATTATATAAAAGTAATCCAATCGATGAAATGTTCAAAAAACTCTACTGAATGAGAGCTTATCAAAAAAGAAAAGTATACATTAATATAGAGTATTTATCGTCCGATATCTACGCCACATATTCCGATATACCACCTCAAACGTCACGTCTTAAATCGATAAGTCACTTTCCGTAATATCGTCATCATCTGTACAATTAGCTTGCTAATTCCCTGTAAGCGATCGTAAACTAATTTCGTTCTGAGCCATAAAATATGAAAGTTTTTCGTCATAATCGCCGGTGAGTCGTGGGAATCACCTTACCAGATATCTCTTCGTATCTGTTAAATCAGTGGAAAACGGAAGAAGCTCCGCCCCCTCTCTACAAACTCTCTTACCCACAAACACTCTTCGTTGACGAAGAGGAGTGAGAGGGAAAAGAGGTGTATAGCGCTTTGTACTTTTGCGACTGTGTGTAAATATTTGAGAACACATGCCTAATTAGTGCAGCTATTGATGGTGACAGGCGGAACAAGCACAACAACACTTGTCTTTTACGATGCCTTTTCCCCGGAATCGCCAATGTCGCCCAAGTTTCCTCATATTCCACGTCCCACTCTGTATATCTTTGGGTCTAGAAGTGCTCTTATCTCGTGCTTGAAAGGAAGTATTTCTTCCAAAGACCTTTGTTGAGTAAGGCTAGACTTCTTGTAGGAACCTGGGGAGGTACTTATCAATGGACGTAAGACTAGAAGCCTTCTTGGTATAAAAACATAAACTTTAAGTGATAAGGAGTAATAGGAAAGTTTTCAGAAGATTAAGTTAATGATGGAATATAATTATAGAGATGGGATATTGCATTACACATCTCGTATTAACTGTAGATGTATTTTATCACAATCTTTATATCATTAATAATTTGATAATTAACTCTTACATATTCATCTCTGTAATATAAATGTGATCAACCCTTTTACCCATCAAGGTTAAATTTACCAAGAAATAAAGGGCGACACTCCTCTCTGAGTTCGATTGTTGACTTTTAGCCACATATTAATACCCAGGATAAACATCGATATATTCCCTAGAATGTCATGTTACTCATGCGTATTTATAGTATCCAATGGACACTATCCATCAGAGATGTATGTACTTCATACGCAAGACAGTGTGTGGCAGGTAGGTCGCACTGGTGACGAAAGTCACCTCATATCCCAGCTGGGACGAGACGAAACGTAACGAAACAAGACGACACTTGGCACATTGGCAAAGTGTTGTGCACAAATATTGACACAGAGCTTCGCAAGTAAGCGCGAGTCAAACAATTGAGGCAAACAAAAACCCAACCGGCGACGGAGGACAGGAAAACAGCCTGGCAAACATTTGCCAGCCAAAAACTAAAGAGAGAAAAAAGCAGGGAAAAATATATATAGAGAGAGAGAGGGGAGTGAGGATCGCTACAGTTTCCCTGCGGAAAAAGGAACGCGTGAAAAGTGCGTTCGAAACAAGTTCAAAAGAGTTAACCGACCGTGTTTAAAAACGGCTTAAAGATACAAGAGTTCCTGCAGGTGATAACGAGAATTACAAATCGATTGCCGCTTTTGGCAAATATAAAATGCATTCAGAGAAAAAATATATATTTTGGGATATTTTGTTGCTTTAAAAATACTTTTGTAATTTTAATAATTACTCAATAGTCAGAAGGATATTTATTCATATAACTTAGGCTGTAATTTATTGAAGAACTTGTGGATTAAGTAAATTGAAATGATGAGAGTAGCTCAAAATATCTCGAATATAAATACTTAATTCACGTTGCTTATAATATATTCCATTTAAAGTACAAAAATTCCACCTTTCTCTCAATTTCCCTCCGTGTAAATACAAAAATATGATCACCAAAGGAACCAGAGACAGAATAAAAACCCAAAGGGACACCTGAGGCCAATCCAAGGTGTTAATCTCTGTGAAAACACACACTCGAGGAACACACACAAAAACCTTCTCCTCATCTCGTCAGATATCGATAATCGGAGCTAATTTGTTTTCGGATTTGATTGTAATTTGTGATTGCCGCGTGCGTTTTATTTATACTCGTACTCAAAAAATCAAAATCACACACGAAAATTTCGACAAAAATCTGGCCAGTTTAAGATTTGCATTTTGATAAGCGGAAGTTGTGTTTCTGATCTTGAGGTGATTTTTCAAGTGTTTTTTTGGTTGGCATTAGTATGTTGTATTGTTTGTCAAATTTGGCTTAAATTAATTTGCAATAAAAACGGTTTAATTAGCGCATTTTTATTATAATTATGGGCAGTTAACAACGTTTTTTGGTGAGTTTGAAATTAAGTTTGAGGAAGAAGCAAAAATTGCGGAAAGGATCTTAATTTGATTATATTTAAGGGGTTAAAAAATGAACTTAAAGTTGAGCTTGTTTCACTAAATTGAATAGAATATTTTTGTATTATTTATGTATTATATAAACATATTTTTTTAGATTTTGAAAACTTTATCAAGCCTTGAAAATCCATAACTTTGGTGACATATTTACTTTCTAGTTTGAACCTTTATTTTTATACCCCTTTGCTAATTTAGCTTACTCACTATGTATTTCTGTATTAATCACTGAGTAATTTATTAGTTCTTAGTCCAAGGACTCACCTGCATCACCCAATAATTATTGCTGGCGGCAAATTGATCACCAATTATGATATCCGTATGCATTTAAGCGGCGTTTATCTCATGAAGGGTTCAGGGGAAAGGCCTCGCGGCAACCGGGCACTGATTCTACGGAGATCTACAGAAGAATTCTACAGGCTCCAGCCGATATATTTATATACCAAAAAAAGAGTCCAGAAACTGGCAATTTGTGTACTTTTATTATTTTGCTTTCTGACTCACGACAAGTCACGACGACGATCAGTTCAAGGCACAGTGATTAATCAATTTTCGGTTATTTTATATTGAATATTTTAGCTGGAAATGGCACTGGGAACAGCGGCAGCAGGCATTGCTGCACGTTCTCTTATTCAATTATTATTTTTTATCTTTTGCGATTTATAAATTTCAATAATTTGCAAGGATATGCAAATGAAGGCACTCGAATCACTTTCTTCCACTCTTTATTTTTGTTGATTTGGTTGCTTCCCTTTTTGTTTGCACAATACTTAACAATAATAATAATCGTTTAGCATTTTACGAATCCTTTGCGTTAATTGCAAATTAAATTATTATCGAAAGCCGCCGGCATTCGCTCACACTTCCGCATTCGATGAGCGGCAGCTTGTGACTTGTTTTGGCTTTCGATTTACTTTTTGTATCTCGTGTTTTTATTTTTTGATGGCAGTAAATTCGAGGGAATATACTAAAGATATACGATATGGTTAAGGCACTTTTGGTGGTATTATTTGTATATATTTTTTTTTGTATTTAAAATTAATTTAATTTTTTATTTAGGCTTTTTTCACGCGCTCGTCGGCAAAAGTCGTCACTGCGCTGGCGGGACCCGAGTTCGTACTGATTGGACGAGCGCTGCCTGTGCGCAGACGAGCCTCGAAAACCTCAAAAAGCCAGTCAGCTTTACGTTTAACCCTCCCTTGCCCCTGCCCCTGCCCCTGCCCCGTGCCACTTTTGTACTCTCCACACCGGTTCTCTCTTGCTCACCTGGCGGCCAGGTGTTACGCTCTCCCTCTCTCTCTCTGTTGTTGCCTCTCTATATGCTAGACTCAGGTGATCGGTGGCTCTTATAAAAACACACACAAACCCTCTCGGCCAGCTGATCTTATTGGAGGTGTTTGGGGTATAAGAGTCGCGATCGATTTTAATTGAATGAAACGTCGGGGATTCGCCATTTTAGATTTGATCACCGGTGGAGGAGGTTATTAAGTTGAGTTAATATATAATAATAGAAAGGTAAAAGGATTCTGAAGGATAGGAGAAATATTAGACTATGAAAAATATACTTAAGGATACTTTAAGTCAAATTTTTAAAGAGAAAGATTTAGTTTTTTATACAGAAATGCAAATAAATGTTTGAGAAAAGTTTAAAAGTTATATTTATTAAAGTAACAAGTAAATATATCTTAGTTAATTGTAAAATTTTCAATGCCAATTGAGCTATTTATTGTAGAAAGAAAACACAACGATAAATGCTAGTTGGAATCAATAAAGTGTCGCAATTAAAGTTCAAAAAGAAATATGAACCTTTAAATATAATAATCTATAGATCTTAAAATAATAAAAACGCAAAGAATATCATTTGATTTTACATTCTAAGATCATTTTGAGCTTATTATTCTCCGAATTGATAATATTATACAATACAAAATGTACAATCTTTTCAGGAAGAGGTCTAAAAAGTTAAGGATACAATATATAAATAAACCAAATATTACATTTTTAAATATATTGAAAGAATCTATACACTTTCAAAAAACCTTAAAAGCACAACCATTTGAAACTCAACCCAAACTATTCCTTAGAATGGTCATAAATCAGAGAAGAAAACACTAAACATAATCCAAACGAAAACTACCGCCCTTAAATCGGCTTTACTATGCCATCCATTAGATTTGACACATTTCAGATAGTTCCCGAACGAAAATACGAAAAGGAAATAACATGCGAAAACGAATTTTACGGGAAACCCCCCGCCGTTTTAGATCGGTATCTTGCTGGCGAAAAAAGCATAATTAAATAGAATTAAAGCATAAATTAAGCCAGCTTTAGGTGCTTTCCTTGGAGGGAAATCAATAAAGCGACAATTAAAACATATCTGTGTATCTACATATTCCAGGGGCAGGGGGCTACCTCCCATCGTGTAATTCCCTGAATCATAAAATTACCCCAACGCACGCCACACATAAAAGCCATTTTCATTTTGACTCATCCCATTGACGTTTTTTTCTGGCTCTTTTTGGCCATTAGGGAACCAAAGTTTATGTTTTCAAAGGGGGGCAGGTAGAATGTGGTAGAAAAGTATCTGAAATATCACGCAAACGTTGCTTTGTTTTTATGCCAGGTGAGATAGCGGGGGGGTCGAAGAGCTAATAGAGGTGTGGCCTCTCTACAAAAAACAAAAACAAAAAAACACGAACTGCGCAGACTCAAAAGCCAGCCAATGGCGACGCTCGACGGAGAGCGCGAGATACCAGATACAAGATACAATGAGCGACAGAGAGGCCACTAGCCAGAGGAACAGAGACAGAGCATGCCCAGTGCACAGTGGCAGCTACTAAGAAAAACAAAAAACACCTCAACCACAAGGCAGGTGAAGTGGTAGACAGATAAGCAATAACACGAAATATATATACACACAAAATAAATAGAGTAATTAACTATAAGAAATTTAAACAAAGTTTATGGATAGTTAAAGACTTAATTTCTAGCTTTAAGGTTTCCAAAAACCCCTATACAATTAAATAGATTAAAATAATATTAAAATCCAATAGATTTTCTTTCTCTCTGCACTTGAGATACAAAAGTATCTATACATTGGAATGGTGCGTGTTGCCCACCTTCGCAGATACATTTTGACTCTATTGATAATTGACAATACCCTCTGTATTGACTTCGTGCAAATTTGCCATTAATGCCACACGGCAGACGAGACGTTGCCAGATAAACAAGCCAAGATACATTTGCAGATACACTTTTGAATCTTGTCACTGTGGCGTCTTCCCCTCTCGCATCCCATTGTTTATTTTCGCGCTTTTGTTTGCTCTCAAGCTGCCAGTCTTACGTGGCATCCGTAGCTATATGCCAAAGATACATTTCCAAGTCTGTACTTGACTTCATTTGGGGGCTTGACAAATGTCAGGCAATTTGTAACTCTTTTTTAGGGTTAAAAATCTTCAATGAGGAGAGTTATTTGCTAAGGAGAAAATGAGATATATGAGAAGCATGTGGGGTACTTTTGCATATTTATTATAAGTAATACTCTTACTCTCTTACTCTTACTTTACTCTCCATAATCTATATTCTTTTCTTGGGATATATTTTCTTATCATTACTCACTTTCCCTTAAGAGATACCCCTCACTACAGTCACTTACAGTCTTACCTGTGATCCTGTATTGTTACTCACACTTTTTCCCCTTAAATATCACCTTCTCGTGAGCCTTTTAAATGTATTAATTTTGGCGCTTTTATGTCGAAATCTGAACAATTTCTCATAAATATTTAAATGGGGAAGCGAGTGTCCTGGCGCAGACATATTGATTTCGCTCTGCAAAAGCGATATCTCTCAGATTTATGGATGCGCCACTGTTTTGGTTTGCATGAAAACCACACACAAAGAGAGATCTACCCTACCTGAACTACCTGTTCTTCGAACCTTCGAAAAACTGAAGATGAAGGAAGAGGAGTCCCTCTCCCTTAACCGAAAATTCACTGCACTCGATCGAGCAGAACTTATCGTCCAAATCGACATGATTAATTACGCACCGAAGACCCTTGAGATCATTTCGTTTGAATTTGTGGCCAAAATATTGTCACGCTTCGGAATCTGAATAAAATGAGTAAAATGAGGTGAACATGGTCATGGAAGTCTCCAAGGAAATGGTTATCCACTTGATTGATTCCACTTGGCGGCACTTGCCGATAAAAATAAAGAAAAAGTGAGTTCTTTTTACACACGTAACAAGTGAGATTGTTATGGTCGAGTGAATCGACTAGGGGTTACCTGGTATTGTACTTGAAATATATTTATTTAAATTGAAAATAAATAAATATATCTAGACTATTAATTCGAAGATTCTATTACTATAAATTTGTTTACTAATGTTTTTCATAGTTTTAAAGAATGGTTAGGAACTGAATTTAAAGCTTTAATTCTGCTAGAACGTATTCAATCTATAAATAAAGTAGGAAATATAGTAGTAGTATGTTCATCACATCCCATAACTTTCAAACTACAGGGTATTTCCCAAAAAGGATCGCAGACAAAGTTCCCATAATGATTCCGATTTATTTGTGTCTATTATTGTCAACCTGATGTTATTTTCTTTTCCAAAAACCCCAAAGATTACGCGGCAATTTGTTTTGTCTACTTACACATTCTGGGAAATGTATTTTCATATAATAATTTTCCTTTGGCTTTTCCCGCTTATCGCCTTGAACATTTATTTCTGTTTGCATAATGCGCGAGCATAATTGAAATCTCCGCTCGGGGAATTGGGGACATGGCCACCGTCATCGAAATTCCATCTAACTCGAAGATCCATCGCAATGGGCTTATTCCTACTATTCCTAGGCAGTTTGGAATAATCTGAGGGGGAGCTCTAGAAATGGGCATTCTATGCAAATTGCAATCGCAAGATGCAACTGCAAAACAAAAACTTTATGCGAATGCTAATCAAGTTAACACCAAATCGCTGTCGTTGTCGTCTGACAATTTTTGTGAGCATTTTTTAAGTGCGTATCTGTGTCGCGGGCCAAGAGCAACCGCCACTGGCAACAATTATTAATGATTTCGCTAAATGTTACAGAAAATAATGACAGCCTCAGTGCTGTGCTGTGCAGCTCTCAACAATTACAAATGCACACAAAATGCCTTTTGGATTTCGGTTTGGTTTTTCGTTGATGTTTTTGTGTTCGCCTTTTTTCCTCCATCAGTTTTCAACACCTCGCAGCCCACATTTCGAATGTTGAATGAATGATTCGACATGTTCCAAGTGGGCGTCCTGCCTGAGGGCGTGTCATTGGCAAAAGGCGGAGGAGGAGGGGGGCGTGGCAGTGGGGGCTCATCGAGGGGGGGAGGCAAAAACAGCAGGCGGCTGGCGGTTCTTCCCTCGTCTTCTCCACGGGCATTTTATTTCATTTCATTTATTTTTTGACATTTAGCGCGTGCGCAAACGCAGGGAGAAAGAAAGAGTCATGATCTAAGCATCTAACGATCCATAGTGCACTGTGGGAAAAAATTTGAAAGCAGTAATTAAA